GAAATTGAATCTGTGTCTCTTTAGTCCATCAATCTACTAGGCCACCCACCAGATTCTGCCTACTATCCCACTATGATTTTCCTTGCTCACCTTTAAGACTTTCATAGCCTTCTCTAGCTTTTTCTTGTTCTTTGTGGTTTTCCTTCCTGTGGAATATCGCACCATCAAGTCCCTTGCTGTGGGACCATCATCCTTGGGAAGGAGAGGAGAACAGTTTAGGAATAAAGTAAAGTTTTACTGTATAGGGAAAAGCAGATAAACTGAAGTGTGCCCAGAGGAAGGGACTCAACATAGTAAAAAGTCTAGAAATCAAGTCCTATGAGGAGATAGGTATGCTTAGTTTGAAGAAGTGAAATGATAGCTATATTTAAATATTTGAAGGGAAGCCATGTAGAGGATGGAGTGAATTTGTTTTCTCATGCTCCTGAGACTAGAACATAAGCCAAGGGATTCAGCTTATAAGAAAAGAGATTTAAGAGCTGTTTGACAGTGAAATGAACTGTCTCAGACAGTGATGGAGCTTCCTTCTTTAGAGTTCTTTAAAAAAAGGTTGGATGGGAATCTTTCAGGAGTTTTTTAGCTTTGTTTTCTGCATGGTAGGTGTTTAAACTACATGGTCCTTGCAGATCCCTTTCATTCATATGGATGAAATCCTATTAGTGAAGTAGGTACCATTCTTGTTTACTTTTTGGTTATTGTGCAGGTCAATATTTTGCACAATACAATGACCCAACCCATCTCATAAAGCCATGCAATTTCCCTTCGAAGCAATGTCCAAGTTGTTAGAGAGTGGAGAATTAGTGGCAATGCATCTAGTTTTTTCTTTAGGTGGATATACTGCCAGGACAGTAGCTTCAGGGAACATTGCAAGAACCAGCTGCAGCATGTTAACCTAAAAGAAAAGGGCTGGATATGTCACCACTGATTCCCCTCTCTCCAGCAACATGGATATTGACATGTTGGGGAGGCAGCATGGCTTACAAAGTGGGTCGCGGGTAGTGAGGGTGGGGAAGAAGCATCAGAAGATGTATCTATGTAAGGCAGGGGTAGGCAACCTAAGGCCCAGGGGCTGGATGCAGCCCCCCCCGAGGCCTTTGAACCAGCCCCAGGCCAGTCTTGCTGCCTCACCCCCCCGCCCGCCATGATGATATTGATTATTGTTGTTATTACTTGTTCTTGGGGTTTTCTTGGCAAAATCTACACAGGGGTTTTGCCATGGCTTTTCTGGGGCTAAGAGAGTGTGCATGCATTTTTTTTTTAAAAAAAATTAATTTTTAATTTTAATTTTAATTTATTTATTTATTTATTTTTGGTGCTTCGGCCCCCCAATTGTCTGAGGGACAGCAACCCGGCTCCCGGCTCAAAAAGGTTGCCTACCCCTGATGTAAGGCATGTATGTCTTACATAGGCAGACCTTAACCTATGATTCCATGATCCCTCTCCATTTGTCAAGCTCACCCCACTTGGCTATATAAAAAGAAATCTTGTATCATTTTTCACAAACCATGCTGTACAATAGGAAGCATCATCATACACAACAGCATATCATTGTAGCCAATGGGATTACACACAAAAGGATGCAATGTGGAAGGAACAAACAACATCTCCACCCCAGCGTCCTAGAACGTCCAGTTTACTCTCGAGAGAACTGCCATAATTTTTTAAACATTCTATCAAGTGAGCTCTCAACTACAACCAGAAACAGAAATGAGAAAAGGGATCTTTTGGACCACAAGATTCCATAATTCCCATGCAGCATGACCAGTGGCTATGCTGGCTAGGCAATTCAGGGAGCTGCAGTCCAACAAAATGAGAAAGCCCAGCCAACCATGTGTCACCTCAAGTCATCTTATGAAGTTCTTCTTCCATATTCATAATGCACTGACCTCTGATTCAGAATCACTGTCTTTTTTTTCATCTTCATCTTTCCCAAGAAAAAATGTCAAGCCAGCAACTAGTATCTGAACAGATATGGGATGTGAGAGGATGACAGTGAGAAGAGATAGACACAAAGAGAAGCTCATTATTTTACAAACAACATTGTGAAGTACATTTGGTTCATGCGTTGCTGAACTAGTAAAGGCAGAAATTTACAGCCCTCCAGACACAAATCCCACCAGACCTAGCCAGAAAAGGCAATGGTGAAGAATGCTCAAAGTTGATGTTCAACAACATCTTAATGTTCAACAACATCTTAAGGGCCACATTTTCCACATCTGTTATAGTCCTTCTAACAATAAGAGGGCTCAGAATCAGAACATTTTATTTATCATATTTACATCTCACATTTCCATAGATGCACTGATGACAGTAAGTAGAAACTAAAACAGCACAAAGCAGTTACAGTAAGGCAGCCTTGAAAATAAACTCATTAATGTTTACAATCACAAATGTTATTAACTGATTGTATTTTCACTAGCTTGTGAAGAGACTAGTAGCCTGTGTTCCTGAGCAGGAAATCCCCTTCCTTTACACTAGTAAGGATGCACATTAGATTCAAATAAAGTCAAATCCAAAATGGGCACCTTCCTGATGTGAGACTTTTCCCCAAAGTGAACAGAGCTAAAGTTGTTTGGATTGGTAGCAGGGTGGGATTGCTCAAGTTCTCTCTATTTAAGATTCCAAACCTCCTTCCTTTCACTTTTTCAAATATCTTAAATCAAACCTTATCACCTTTCTTTATTTCCAGGAATAACCAAAGGGAGGCGCAAATCTGTGGACTTCCAAAATTTCAACTTGGGCCCAAAACACTATGAGCCAGTATTAGGGTGATTTTGAAAAGACTGAAATACAGTCTGAAATGAATCTAAGGGGGGTTGCAGCCTGCCAGAAATAGTGCAAATTGAGTCCACTTTTAGGGTTAGGGAATCATGGGAACTGTATTTTATTGTGGCACCAGAGCTCTTTGACAGAGAAGGCTCAATGTCTCAGAAAAAACAACAAACAATTCCCATGATTCCCTAGCACTAACCCTAACCCTAAAAGTGGACTCAATTTGCACTATTTCTGGCAGTCTGCAACCCCCCTAACATGTTAACAGAAGGTGCCACAAGACTGCGCTGTTCTGCAATAGATTAACATGGCTAGCCATTAGCATTCTGTCAAAAATGCAAATTTATTTATTATTTTAATTTCTCACCTTTGTGACTTTGGAAAAGCAAGCTGTAGTAATGACATTCACCGTTTTAGCATCATTCCTATGTTTTAAAAATAAATAAATAAAATCTATTGAAACCTTGATATCAGGAATGTTAACTTGAATACGTCATGTTTTATTTTATTTTGGTGCATTTTAATACTTGGAAATCTATTTGTGACCTACCAGATATTCCTTCTGTACAGCTCTATCATCACATCCAATGATATCTTGGCTGCAGTTGGATTGCTATCTTGTAGCATTGTATACATAAAATTCTGAAGTGTCTAACAAACAAAAAGGAAAGATTGTCAAGTAATTCTTTTATGTACTACCCAAAGGTCAAACTTGATTCAAAGAAATGGAAGACAACTCACTGTGTTTAATTTATTATTTTTGTGCTTCGCATTGATGTTCTTGATATCTGTCACAATGTGGGTGTACAGTGTCTGCCAAAAAAATGAACATCAACACTCATTAACACTGGGGGAGACAATGATGGAAATCCTTAAGGGTTTCCTCAAGTAAAATGAACTACAGCAGAGATGTACCATTCTGTATGACAGGGTGGGCCCCAAAATGGAGAGGCTCAATGAATACCAGAGAGTTTTATAGATGGAGAGTGATCTGAATGCAGGACTCCTTGGTCCTAGTCAAACATTGACCACTACAATACAATGGTTGCCATCTGTGGGTTTTTATGTGGCTAGTAACATTTTAAAAATTGGCTCCTATTCTAGTGAGCTTACAAACTAACTTGCAGTTGGTGGGTTAGGGTAGGAAGATAACAGAGCAGAGGTAGGCACTCTCTCTGTTTGTAAAATCCTGAAGGAAAATATTGGAATACATCCCTAAATAAACAGATTCTTTTATTAGAGTGGATGTTTTGCTTTGCTGGGGGAGTGAGGGGAGTTTGGAAATTCCCTTGGGAAATTTCCCTTTCACAATCAGCTACCACAGCAATGCATTTAGCCCTTGGGTTAATTTCTAATTGTTTCTACAAGCCATCACTTTAATGAATAACCCACTATGTGGAGAGAAAGTATAAGTTGTGATAGAAAGAGAAAGACAGCTCTGGCAGAGAGAGAGAAGAAACAGAGAGGGAACAGATAAAGAGAAAGGACGAAGAGGGGAGAAAAGGGTCTGAAAGAAAAGATGGGGGAGAAGAATGCAAAGCAGCTTCATTTATATACCACTTCATATCGCACTATGGGATGTCTAAGCAGTTTACAACTGTAAGCTCATTGCCCCCCAACAGTTGGGTACTCATTTTAGTGACCTCGGAAGGATGCAGGCCTGAGTCTAGCCTGAGCCCTGGCTAGTATTGAACTCGCAACCTTGTGGTCTATGAGTGAGTGGCTGCAGGACAGGCATTTAACCACTGCACCACCAGGGCAGAGATTTAATGGCCTGAAATGAGATGGCTGTGGAGAAATCAAACAGTCTAGTTCAGGGGTAGGCAACCTTTCCCCTTTAAGGGCCGAGGGACTTCAGCTCCCAGAATCCCAGGAGCTATTGGCCAACATGGGATTATTGGCCAACATGGCTGAGGCTTCTGGGAGCTGAAGTCCCTCGGCTGTTAAAGGGGAAAGGTTGCCTACCCCTGGTCTAGTTCATCTGAACAAAACAACATAGAAGAACCTTGTCTCCTTCATTTCCTTCTTCCTCTTCCCAAGTGACTTTTCCCGGCCAAAAGCAGCCAACTAATTGTTGTGTGCCTTTAAGTTGTTTGCAACTTATAGTAACCCTAAGGCAAACCTTATCATGAAGTTTTCTTGGCAGGTTTTGTTCAGAGGAGGTTTGCCATTGCCTTTCCCTGAGGCTGAGAGCATGTGACTTGCCCAAGGTCTCCCGCTGGGTTTTATGACTGTACTGGGAATCGAACCCTACTCTCCAGAGTCATAATCCAACATTCAAACCACTACACCACACTGGCTCTTCAACTAACTCTACACCCCTCTTTTTTTGCACATAGGGGAGCATGCACCAATCTCTCATGCAACCCAAGAGATAAAGGAGCATTACATATTGCCCATTCCTAAGAAAAGTACACTGGGCTGAAGTGAATGATGAAATCTTTTAAGTAGGTACTCCAGGTCATTTATGGCAGGCGCAAGCATATCACTTCTTTTTACAATCTTATTAAGAAATTTCACATACCAAGAAAGTAAATCTGATAAGGATTTTTTTGAGGGGGAATACAAGAAATTTGCTACTTACTTTTCTTAAGAGTTTGTCATGGCAACGAAGGAGTTCAAAGAAAAGTTCCAACAAGCTTGTAGGGTTGATTAGGTTCTTATTCCGCAACAAAATCAGAGCTTTGCAAAAGGTCTGCAAAAGTAGGAAAGACGTTATCACAGGCTGTGATCATATAATGAGAATATGTCATGCCATAAACTTGATACTGCCAGCACTGAAGGGGTCTTTAAAAATTTCCCTATATGAATTGAATGCTCTGCTGAAGTTCCCACTCCCTTGGAAATATTCTCTCCCTGCTCTTCCCCTGTTCTAGCCATGCTGGTTTCTAGATGCTGTAGTCAAAAAGGCTTTCCAAACTCTGCAAATGTTAGTATTTTAAAACATGAGACCCACCATCCGAAGATCAGCATCCAGGACTGTGTGATTATAAGAGAGAAGCTCCTTTAGTTGTTGTGGAAAGTCTGCAAGATGTTGAGGGTAACAATGCCCAACCTGTCTCAAAAGAAAGAATGACAGAAAGCATCTCCATAACATGTTCCATTTATTACAGATATTATCTACCTTTATTTTTAACTGTACAGAATGCACCACGAGTAACGGATATAAGGAAAGGAAGTCAGTCTGGCCAAAAGCTAAGGGGACTGGGGGAACAGTACACAACATCCTTCCTTTACATTTTGCAACACCAAGCTTTGCTGAAACCTATCCTATAAACCATCAATCACCTGTGTGGTGTCACCCTGAAACTCAGCCCAGGATTCTCCTGCTGCATCTGCATTGCATAAATAATCCAGTTTGACGCCACTTTAACTGCTTATGTCTCCATGTTACGGAATTTGGGGATTTGTAGTTTATTATGGCACCAGAGCTCTCTGACAGAGAAATCTAAATGTTTCACAAAACTACAAACCCCAGAATTCCATAGCATTGAACCGTGGCAGTTAAAGTGGTATCAATTGGATTATTTATGCAACGTGGATGCAGCCGCCATTATTTCAGAAAAGCCTGGAAATGTTACCCATTTGGAATACAAATCTCAGAATTCATCAGTTGGCATGGTTGGATAGTCATCCTGGCTGGTGGATTCTGGGAGTTGTGATTCAGCCCCTCTTTCCTAGGATTTGCACTTTCACCCCTGCCTATGACACTCAATCCTCCAACTCCCCCTCCAAAGCTTTCTTATTCTCTCACTCTCAGAAATACCAATTCTCGTTCTCGAGAATGACCATTATTTTCTGTTGATGATTTAGTTTGCATTTTTAAAAACAGAAATAAGATCTCTTCAACTGCTTGTTTATGTTGTCTGTAAATAAAATCTTCTAGACATTTACAGGTCTTTGATAATTCTGTTTTCCTTTCCTACAACAGACCCAAGCCAAGCCAAACTCTCTGCACATATGTATCCACAAATCATGCCACTTTACCTGTGCCAGGAACATAACTAGTTCAGCTAGGTCTTTATTGGGCTTAGCTGGCTGCAGTTTGAATATCTCCACATTGGACTGGTAGTGACGATATTGCTGAAGAAACTAAAACAAACAAAGGCACACAGACAAACAAAATCAAAATATTACTTCCATTTCAGTGTTGCCAAACATTTTAAAAACATCTATTACTTTAGCCTTTTCAACCAAATCAAGAGGGTGGTCTGGAA